TTTTAACCAACTACCATTTATTCAGACAAGACTAATATTAAAGGGCAAAAGAACCCAAAGACTTTGCCCCTCCTTGTGTGATCCTATTCTTTTTAATCTTGAAATAACTGCTGGACATTTCTGATAATTGATTTGGCTTTCATGTGCCACTTAAAAGTTTCCATAGCTTTTCAGATATGTAAAACCCAAACAGCTGAGTTTGAAGTTGCCATTGGAAATAAACCCTTTGTGCTGAGCTTCACTGAAATCATTAATTCATAACAAAGTCATTACTATACCAGTGCAAGCTGTTACTGAGAATAAATTTGTATACAAATTAGCTGCAACAAGAAGACATTGGACTCACTGTCACATATACAGCAGAGTAAACACTTAAAGCTGCATCCTTTGATGGAAAAGATCTTCTGGCCCTTTCAACCACCATCTGGTCTCCTGTACAGATGTTTCCATTTGTGATGAATTGGTGGTTGAAGCGGCAATCTGTTCCAGTATAATTTGGCTTGCAAACAGTTAAAAAGTACGGTGTCAAATTCCCTGTTACAACCTGGCCAGCATTTACAAAGATATCAGTAGCAAACAATCCAAATGCGAATACACCTGCAAGGAAATAAGAAACATGTCAAAACCAAGAAAGCTACAGCTATGGAAATTATTGGTCTAATCCAGTTTTTTAAAAAACAACATTTTAAAGGACTGTAATTTAACACAAAAAAGGTTACAAAAGAAAGAAAGCTTTTCAAACCATTGTGCTGATTTGGCTGTTTTGGTTGTACTGTACCTCATTATTCCAAGGATCATGGATCAATGAGGGCTTCTTAACAGAGGAAGGTCATCGAATCTGTGTCATTGACTAGTAGATCTCAGCACAAACACTATTAGTACCAGAAATGGCCCTAGACTACAGTGCAAATGGTCAATGGAAATAATCTCCAGTCACTACACTGGAATGCCAATCTCAAATGAAGGAAGTACTGTACAACCAAAAGAAAACTGCCACAGTCTTCTGTATCATGAAAATGCCAAATCTTTAAAGAGACTCAAATCTTAACATCGGACTGAATACAGTACCACCAGCACTACAGTACATGTAGATACTCCTGACAGAATTTTGTGAATTAGAAAAGAAATTGCTGTGTCACATTAGGATTACAATTTACAATTCTAGGCAATAACAAAACACTTTAAGCAATAACTGACATAAACTGTTGTTGTTGAAAACATGCACTGTCATTATTCACACTTTTTAGTAAGATCTAAAGGTGTGCTTGGCTAAAAGGACCCTGATTTTTTAAATACAAATCATACAAATACAAATCATCAACAGTTGTGGTTTCGTGTCCTGTGTATAACGAGGAACCAAGTGCCTTTACAAAGGAGAAACTGAGGAAGTACAGGCAGATTCCTCCAATCCACCTCCTTTGGAGCCATTTGTCTTTAACACATCACTGACTACACAGCCCTTTATTAGAGATTGAGCACCAGTTGGAGAAGAAGCACTGCCTCACTGACAGTAACACAAACCCGCAAGTGCCCAGGAAACTGCAGGACTCACCAAGTCTCCTGAGAGCCCTGGCCACCCTTAGGAGAATCATGGTTTCAGTTAGTTAGTGATTTAAACCAGGCTCCAACCTGTGTTCTGCCTGTTTTTGGGTGGCACCCTTTAATGGTTGAGTTATGTTGGAGAACCCAAAAAAGCACTGTCTGCAAGCATTGCTGACATGTTTTGAAAGACTACACGAAGCAGGAGAGTGAACTGTGATTGGTCATTTTGTCTATCATACATGCATCTATTATTTAACCATTTCATCCAATAAAGGGGTGCTCATTCTGGTATACTATGGCCCAGCATGCCACTTTCAGCCCTATCATTTATACTATCACATTATTTTCACTATAAAATACAATCTTCCTGAAAAATAATAATGTATAATGGAAAATGAATGTAATTACTGTAATGAAAATGTACTGCAAATATAACAATTCATATTTTATAAACAGTTTTGGCAAACGATACATCTCCATAACCAACCTTCAAATTAATCATGGAGTAAAACGGGTAAAATGGACAGTGAACATGACCAATGAGAAAAATTAATTGGTCATGTGTATTTAGTAAGTGGGCACATTTTGAAAGATCAGTAATTGCTCTAAACTGAGGCAATTAATGAAAGATTGTGGTCTTGCTTGTTTATTATTATTGCTTATTTCTTACTGATTTAGTCTTATTTAGACACCTTGTCTGTCTCTGCCTGCCAATGGGATGGAAAAGCAGAATTCTAGTAAATGCAGGATAAGCAGCTTTTCTTTTCATAGTTCAGGTGAGTAGCTGTGTCAGCATGCGTAGGCTGAAGAAGGCTCCACAGCCGAAACATTGTTTTCTTTCTTCTCTTTTCGGCATGGAATAAACCTATTGTTCCTTTTTCATTTCATATATGTTATGACACAGTTTGCTCAGCCTGACAGTCACGTCTAAAGGCAGCCACGCAATCCAACTGCAGATGCTTGCCGATTCCGTAAAACTGTTGGAGATTTCCAAGGAGAGAGAGAAAAAAATTGAGAGAAAAAGTACTGAAAAAGCCAGGAGGCAGAGCTGAACGGGCAAGTTTCAGGCAGAACAGGGTGCTCAAATGACAGAGTGTCTTCCCCGTGGCAGTTCAGGTGTTTTAAAGACAGTCGGGTTGATCAGGAGCTGGCTTGGTAGAAGGAGGGGTGAGCCAAGCGTGTAATAACTGTAGCCCTGTGAGGAATGCGTTCGTTCAGGGGAGAACTGAACCCCCATGGCTACCGTGGATTGTGAACCGCTGCCTGTCTTGTCTGCCTGTGACAATATATTTATAAAAATAGTCACTCTTAGAATAAAGAGATCCATGTGACATTGAATTAGAAATAAGTTCAAATGTAAAAAAATATTAGACACTTACCCATATGCACAATTACAAACATGGTTGTATCAAAGTATACTAAATAAACACAACAACACTTTTTGTTGTTAGTAACAGAAAGAAAAGGGAATGCAGTAAACTTATAAAGCCAGAGCTTAAATACATACAGTACATATTTCTATATAATTTCAAAAGAAAACACTTGAAGTTTAATATCATAATATACAGTAAGTATCTAAATTAGAATTTTCTGTCAATGTTTATAACAGAATTATGAATACAGAATCAGTTACAGGGCAGCAGGGTAACAAAGGTCCAGTCAGGCAATATTACCCTCTAGGTTTACAGGTCAGCTGTTTGCAGCTCTTATGGATAATAAGAGAGGCCATGCTCATATGGACCCATAATTTGAATTTTGTATGCTGACAGTTAAGAACAAAGTTGACAACAAACACTACAGCAAACTGAAACTAACTGTATAGTACTGTTACTCCTAAAGTGCATTACCACTTGGCCTCATAATTTAATGCATATATTAGAAATTAAACCTTGTAAAGTCTAGATCACTTACAAAGAGGTATTCAGTGCAATACCCTAAATGTGTTTTGCATTTCTTTTTTAATTTAATAAACACATTTTGCATGGTCACTGCACATATTTGAGAACTTGCAAACTCCCAGCTTTCAGATGATTTATATTTTGTCTATTCATTTGATGATTATAATGATGTAACCGGAATAAGTCCAGAGTCAGCTATACAAGATTTGTGTAAATGGGACTGAGTTAATGAATATATTCTCTTTTGTTTTGTAACAACAATTTTTGGATTTCTTTTACTTTTAGGCCTGATACTAATTCTGAATATATACATATGTCAGTGGTCTTTGTGTTGTACTCAAAGACTTGCTAAACAGGGTCAGATTATTTACGTCTGAATGAGTACTGATTAATTGAGCTAGTCTGGTGTGGGGAGGGCATTTTTATGGATATTTTAGTCCTAGATAGTTTTAATGATACACATGTAAAAATGCCTCAGGAGAAACAGCAAGGAAGTTAACTTGAATTGAAATAGACCTAAGGAGTTTATTCATGCATGTGACATTGCATTTGATATTTAATTTAACGTGCCTGACATCTGTTTAAAATTTAGTGAAAATCACTACTTAAACTGAATATTTATGCATACAGTGCCTTGCAAAATGTAGTTTTCTAAAGTTACAAAACCACTGAATGTTGGTGGAAGCACTTTTGGCAGCCATTACAGACAAGTATTTTGGGTGTGTCTCTACCACATTTGCAAACTTACTGTACTTGATGTGATTTTTTGTCTCATTTTTCTTGGCAGATTTCTCACGTTGCTTGGAGAATGCTTATGTGTAGTAATTTTCAAGTCTTTCCACAAATTCTCAATAGGATTTAAAACTTTGACTAAGCCACTTAAATAAATTTACTTTTTTATTCTTAAGATATTTCAGTGTAGCTTTACCTATGTGTTTTTGATCACTCTCCTGCTGATATAAAACTTTTTGTACTAGTTAAAGGTCTGAAGGGTTCTGCAGGTTTTCCTCTAAGATTTGACAGTACTCTTCTCTGATTGCATTTCCATCAGTCTTAACAAACTTCCCAGTCCCTGATGATGAGAAGCAGAGCTCTTACTGAATGCTGCCACCACCACACTTGAAGTAATGATGGTGTTGGTTTGACTGACCATTTATCTTCAGTTTTATTTAAATGGTTTATTGCAAACTCCATGATGACATTTAGATGGATTTTCCACTCCAGTTCTTCCTTGTCAAGCTGCTCAGGCTTTTTCTTCAAGGAAACAACTCTTTCACCACAACAATGCCACAATAATTACAACAAAATATTTTTGATTTATAATCAAGGTGTTTCTCAGACATTTTATGCATCTTTTCTTTCAGAGATTTTCATCCATATTGCTTCAATTTGAAACACTTTAGAAGTTTAAATATTATGTTGCACTTGTTCTCCCTACCACCTACTTGCTGAGTGCATGTGTGCTGTCCCTCAGATCAGGACAATCTGATGGCTTTTTAAACCCAGTTCATTCCACACAATACATTGTAGATATCTGATTAATTTAAATAAAAAAGCATATTATTTTCAGTTTAATATTTGATTCAGTACATTCTCAATACAAATGGTGATACACAATTGTTTCACACAGTAGTGTGAAATGTTTCTGTGAGTTGGACAGCCTAAGATAAGTCTTAACTAAGTTAATGCTTTTTTGCTCTATTTTTTACTTTAAAAATGTTTGGTTAGATAGCATATAGCCTAAATAAGTAATTTAAAATATGTAAGACAATTTAAGCCATGAATAAATAAAAAATGTGTTTAAATGAATGTGAATTATTTAAAATAATGCATAAAATAAATAATTATGAGTCCCAAGAGGCGTTACACAGCAGGATTACTCAGTTAGCTGGAAACTTCAGACTGCTTATTCTAATGTCCCATTGGCCAGCATTGACGAAGCTGTCAGCAGTCGTGTAACTGGGATTTTATACAGTATATGGGGTGGCAGGGACAAAAGTATAAAACAGCAATCCCAGGGTTGTTACGGGCCCAAAAAAAAATTCAGTGAAAGGCTTTGGCATATCGTATATCGACACATACAGTACTGTACACCTTTCAGTAGTCACAAAATGTTTCACTGTTGAAAATGAGGGTAACCAACTAAATACAGCAAACACATTTCTCAGAGATACACCACCTTCTTTTGGTTTTGAGATAACTAACATGATAAAATGCATTTTAGGTACACTATGCTAAGCCGCGTGCATTACATTTTTAAATTGAAAATATCGATATTACAATTGTTAGGAACAGTAGCAAATATATTTGTATGTAAAATATTTGGAAAGCACAGTAACGTCTCATCACAACACCAATGGTTTCTGCTACTTACTAGGTTGGGAAAATTGTCCTGCTATAAACACATTAAATGTTAAATGTAGTAAATATTAAATATTTAGTATGTTAAATATTAAATGTCCTATGTAGGTGAAACACAATCTATTACTGCATGTAAGTTTTTTTTTGCTGTTTTTTTCATCATGGCACCAGAATGCTGTTATACAGAGCTAACAGTCTTGATATGTTTAAAGCATGTTTACATTGCAACAATTGCTACAGTGAAAAGTAGAGATCGCAAACTTTGGCCTAGGACAAACCTCTATAGTTTACATTATTTTAGATTATAATTATAAAAATATATCATACATAATGTCTTCAGTGATTAGAATTTAAAAGCAAATATGCATGTAAAACCTCCATTGTAATTTCTGTAAGGGTGTGTTTAAATTCCCTTGCTCTCCAAGCATCCAGGAGATTGTTAGTTTGACCAGTAGAACTAGTTTTAACACCCCTTATTGACAGGATTCACACCTTTGCTACCATTACATTATGTTATACATTTATTATTATTTTGATATTTAACATACTTTTGTACATAAAAATAGTAAAAATCTCAGTGTAGCATACATATTATTAATCATATTTTATTATTTATTATTCTTTATCACAGAAAAAGTTATTTGTTAAAAGTACATCTAATGCATTAGTCAGGAACAGAACCCAGACCCTCTACATGGCAGGCAGGAATTCCACCTCTGAACCACCAAAATGTCACTCTACTGGGATGACTAAATTAAAAATGATAAGCATTGCTTTTTCTACAAGATTTTCAATAACGTTACAAGTGTCTCACTTTCCATTACAAAATTAATAATAGAGGTGTTCATGGAAAAAGTAAAAAACATTATATTTTTTATAAAGCATATACAGTACAGGTTATAGAGCTACAACAAACATTTCAAAACTTTTCCAAAATAAGTACAGCAAGTGACTGAGTTAAAGAATTAAATGAAGAAAATGTTTATGAAGAAGATGGAATACTTTTGTCAGCCAACTACCACTATGAGCTATTCAAATATATTATATTAATATTAAAAAATAAAATAACAATGTTAATGACGTTCAAAAACAATATAACACTTCAGCTATTTTTAATTTCTGCTACCTAAATTTCCCTTTCCTTACATAACTCCATATATTCCATACTAAGTGGATTTGAAGCTGTACTACAACAAATTAAAATTAAGCTAATATTTCACTAACCTGTAACAAAGCATAAGTGCCACCTATTAATCTTCGTTGACCAGTGAAAAGCTAAATTCAACAAGCTGAATCAATCACGGAACAGTGCAACCAGTCTGCTGTAGACTAGAGTTGTGATGCATATTCTGAATGGCTGCATCTGTATTGGAACTCGCTGAGAAGAGTGTTCATGGAGAACATTGAGTAAGGAGTTACAGAAATGAAACCTTGATGTTATAAATCAAGCACACAGCATAGGACATTGATAGATACTGCCTAATGCAGGCAATACTTCAAAGGTGGAAAAAAAAGTTAAAATCAAATTTTTCAGGTTGTTGACTTCTGTGTTTGAAATTCACTACCTGATTGAGATAAATTACAGAGATAGGTAGATTTATAGTGAAATCATCTTAACTGTTTTTAATGTACACAGAGACCATTTAACTAATTGTGTGGCACATTAAGGTAATTTTGTGCATCTAAATTAAGGCTTGCCACAGCAATGGTTTTGAATACTTAAATTATGACTTTTCCATTTCTCTTCCATATTAATTATTTAATTTGCAGAGTAAGATGTGAATACCAGTAATATTAATTGATACTTAAATGTGCCATGACTACAAATTTTCAAGCAATGAAATGCAAAACCCTTGTATGTCTCAATAATTTTGCAAAGTACTCTAAATAAGCTGTTTTGAACTGGATTTTAATCATTTGATAGTCTTCCCAAACTACATTTGGAAGTAATATTTAACCATTTATTAAGTGTCAGATTTATAAGCATTTTCTGAAGAATTGTAGTTTACTTTGTGAATCCTGCTTCTTTTTATTTTGTTTTGCAAGTACTACGAGAATATTAAGACATGGTCAGGAAAGGTTATAGAGTTAGTGTAGCAGTAATGAAGATCTTCATGGCAAACTATCTTTTTTTCTCTCTCCGACATGAAATCACAGCTACTCTTAACAAAACAATAATCCCTCTAAGCTATGAGCATAAATAAACAAGAATTTAGGGTTTTTTGTCTCTATTTCTTTTCAATCTGTAAAATGTGTTCTCGGTTTTTGTAAAACTAAAATATTACGATGGGATTCTAGCATCTCCCAAGCTGTATTAACCCACCTACAGCAATCCTCTGAATCAATTCAGAACACGTGAAATGATGCATAGATAGAGTACCTTCTAAATGTATTCAAACACATGATGAAATATGAATAGCATCACATTACAGAAAGATTTTCAAACTGGATAACTGGCAGGGATGACACTAACTAAACACCTCCTATTAAGTACTATGAGGTTCTGGTACTTCAGAGGGAGAATTTAGGAACATTCCTTCATATTTATGGAACAGAAGCCAAAGGGTTTGAAGAATATTCTTTCATGTATGAATACCCTAAACGCATAAAGCCCTGAACAATAGAATTTGAAAAGTTACCAAAAGACACTGTTTTCCACCCATGTGCTTTTGCAGTATCAGGTTATAAAACATCACTCACCTATGAATCTTATGATTCTACGAATAAGAGGATTCAAGTAACAGCACTCGCCAGTCACAATTGTCTTCTCTTGGGCAATAAGTGTGTCCCTTGTAGATTTTATGAAGTACATTGAAATCTCTCCAGTAAAAATCTGTGAAGAGAAAAAGAGAATCAATGGTTAATCTATTATTGTTGTCAAACCCTTTCCTGATTCTACAAACTGGATGTCACTGAATACAAATGAAACCTAGTACACTTTTCACATTGTTAAGAAAAATGGGCTAAAGAAGATTTCCTGAATAAGAATTTAAGAAGCTGGCAAATAAAAAACAGGCTTTAAGCCCATCTGTGTTGAAAGTGAGTATTTTAGTAGTGCACTGGAACTTTTGCACAGCCACAACCATCTAGCTGGAAAGCCTGTTCCAGACACCCACCACTCAACACAGCAGTCAATGAAAATACTAAAAACTTTTTACCACATTTTTTACCAGAACTACTGTATGTATTTACTCTCCCTATATACTGTATTATATAAATATGTACATTATTAAAAAATTGCACAGTATAGGCTGGCTTTTGGCTTTTTATTCTGAAAGAAACAGATTTCTTTTTTACCCTTCATGGTATTTTTGCCTTGTTTTTATCTACTCTGTATTTCTGTAAAATATGGTTCTATTTCTCTGTCCACTGTGGGAGTCTGGAATAAGCTACCCAGCCATGCTGTTGAAGCCAATACCTTGGCATCGTTCAGGAAACAGGCAGATGACATCCTTGGATCACTTAACTACAAGCTACCAAACAAGCTAGGCTCACAGAATGGCCTTATTTGTTAGATTTGTAACCTCTCTCATGTTACTATCCCACATCTGGAAATGTGTAAGCAAAGTTATTTTTTAAGGGCAGTTGTAAATACTGTATATTTTACTACAATAAAGCTGTACGCAAATTAAAATGTTCAGTTTTAAATAACCGATAACTACTTTTCTAACAACGACTTAAAACTGAAGAATGTATACTGTTGTTAACTATTCTTTGTCTTGAAAAAAGCTTTAAACAACTAATTTTGTTGCTGTATCAGCTTTGAAGATGAAGAACAGAGGCGAACTGAAGTTTTGGATCTGGCACGCTTTGCTCTGATAGCCATCAGAGCTGCACAATCCATTATGTCAGCCTCTAGAAGCCATGTCTGATGTGTGGGAGGTTTGTAGGACACAATGTAAGTGCTTTTTCAGCCTGAGGTCCATTTCATCAAGTACTGTATGTTTTATTTGTGGTCTTAACCTATTTATTATTCAGGTCAAAGAAAGTGAAAAATATGTGTTGTTACACATTGGGTCTTGTAAAGAAACTATTCTAGGTCATGTACACATGACTGAATAAACCACTTCTCTTATAGCCCAAGTTTCTTAGATTTCTGATTTAATGTTTTAATGTAAATTTTTTAACATGACATTTTACATGAACTACAATAAGAGACAATTATTTGGAGGAGGTCTGTGTTTTATGCAGCTTTTATTTAATAATGACTAAGGTTAATGGATATGCTTGATTATCCATCCATATTATATTACAGATGTTTACCTCAGTCTTACAATAAATCTACTATTTTTTACATTGTTAACAGTTATTTAAAAATTACAGCATTAGACAAAGTCAAAATGGAAAATCACATTTTAAAGTCTTCTATGATATCAAACATTACCCAAACGTTAATGTATGGTCACTCTCTTTCTGATTTGTGACTGTGTGTTAGACAAATAGTAATGTAGTAGTGGACATGCCTTAATGATAAAGAGGGTGAAAGGAAATTACATGTCAGAGAGAGAAAAAAATCTCTTATTCCTGAAAAATAAAATTGATGGTAGGTAAATGCTTTGGTGTATTTCTGCTTATTTATTTAACCTGAGTGTTTGTCAAAATGCATGTTTACAGCCTTTTGTAATTGAATGTTTGTATCTGATATTTGGAATTGCACTAGAAATGAGAGATTTCTTATTTCTAAGACCAAGCAATTTTATGAGAAGTGAAAACCTATTAATTCTTCTAACTTGTTCTATTCACCTAAAAATACACTTTACTTATAAAATTATACGATTCTCTAAGTACTGTATGTTAATTGGGTGTAATTGTGAATATGTTTGCTGTGAATAATATGTTGATAAACAAAACCAATGCAATGATTTCCTCTTATGGAAAATAATGCAATAAATCCTAAAGGCCATTTTTGTTGATAATATGAATTAAGAAGTTTTTTTTCCATTAAATAAACATATCTCAGCAACTGTGTTTCTAAATTGGTGACAAGTGTGCAAGAAACATAACATTGCATGAATTTAATGTTATGTGTCCTCGATGCAAGGACATCATGATGCATGGTCTGTATCACACTATTATAAAACAATATATTGTTGCATTATACTATTAATCTTCAGGGTCCTGTGAATGATGAGCCAGAGAGAGCAACCAGGCACTTGGGGCAGAGAATGCTGGAGTGTTAAAGCTATAACCACTTCTCATCTGGTAGGCCATTTAAGGACCAATCTAAACATTAGTAATCATTTTAATACTGGTACCCTACTGTATGTCACTACAGTAAGAGAGGATAAGAGGTTTCATCTTCAACACCTTCATGACCAGTCTCAACCAGGCTGAGCTATAGCAAATGTTGTCAGTTGGATTTGAAAAAGGCCAAGTACTGACAGAACAATCTTAAGACTTTGAAAAGACATGTAGATTTTATTATGACCCTATGTCTATAACATCACATGTGGAGTGCACTTGCTTCCTCTGCTAACTGTATTGATAAACTGTACCAAGAAATTAATCATCCACATCAAACTTCATGGAGACATAAAATTATTTCACTCACAAAATTATATTTTTTATAGACTCTGAATAAAGGTACAGTAGGTAGGTAATGTAGGTATTAGAGGCAAATGTGTTTAGAATATGTCATAATATAATAATATAATAATTTGCAGTTCTTATGACATACTTTCAAACAGCCTCTCCCATCTTCATGTGCTAGGTTAATAATGTGTTTTTTTTACCTTATTTTTAATTAATTACCTTATACTTAAATGTGCTGAGAGCTGCTGAGCTGAAATTTGCAATATAAATGACAGTTTATAAATGATAGATTATTTATAAAATGTGTGACTGACAGGTTCTTGGATGGAAGAACAGCAGAGCAGGATGATACTAACCAGAAGGGCTTTCAAATTAACACTGCCATAGACTAGGATGTGAAACAAATCTAGTTACTATGTGAGCCTCTCCCTGCCCCCTGCCCAAATACCCATGACCCACTTTTGTATTCTAATGAACACTCCTGGTTCTGTGTCAGAGACATGGGTAATGACAGGCTGGAGACAACCTTACACTTCACTTACAGTTTAACTTCCTTTTTCATTGCACATGGGCACACTATTCATGGAGGCAGAGAAAGTGCAGGCATCCGCTGGTTGCAGAGGAGAGATTCATGGTGTTCATTTTAGCTGATTACTATACTGTAAGTCTGTGAAACCTTTGTTTTATTTGATCATTGTTATTTTATTTAAGTTAGAGCCAATGCATCAATACTTTTATTATCATGTAAGGGAGAGTTACTTTTGTCTTTTAACTGTACATACTGTAGTATATACTGTAGTTGTCATACCTGGGCTAGGAGCAGCTCGCAGCCTGCAGTTGCCATGGTTATTAGCAGCATTTCCACAAGAGCTGGCATTGCACCCAAGCCCATAGTACCAGGTCGGGCTGCCTTTCTGTGCATCCGCCTCCCTTTCAGTCAGGGAACCAATCTTCCAAACAAGCCTCCAATTAGGCACTGCATTTAAGTCCCAAAGCCCTACTTAATCAGTGTTCTGATATTGAGCTACCTTAAGTAGTGCAGTTCCTCGCCTCCTCTAGAAACCAGCCACTGCGAAGATTCCGAATCCCAGAAACGCTGCTTTCCTTCAGCTTCCTGATCTTTTTCCGCAGCCAGCACTGATTCCAGTTGCGTGCCCAGCTTTCCAGTCAGTCTAAGGAATACAGGCTTTCCTGTCGGTCTTACTACGTCAGGCTCCCCTGACAGCCTTAATTCTCCAAGCTTCCCAGTCAGCCTCAACTCGCCAGGCTCTTCTTGTCAACCTCGAACATCTCAGCCTGCTTTCCCTGTCAGTCTACCTTCACCTGCTGGCTTTGCTCCTGTCTCCCTCTGCTCTTCCGAAACATCAGCGAGAAACCCTAAGTCCTGCAGTTAGATCTCAGCCTGTCAGTCCAACCGCGGCAGTGCATAGCAACTGGCTGGGTCATTATAGTAGTACATTATGTGATGGTATAGGAGTACACGTGGTTATATGCAAATTTGGCTATTTGGTTTTTTGCACCAAACATTCGCAAATGTTGAGACCTTACTGGATTGTGATATAGGAAAACTCTCTAAAGTCATATTACTAAGGATTATTAGATTTCATAGAAGGCTGTCAAAATGCATAAAATGTAGTAGACGTTTTCCATGCAAGTATTTGCTGAAGCAACCTGGAGTGTATCCTAAAGCACAGACGTAAAGAAAGACCATACATTAGACTGGACTCTAGTCCATTGTAGAGCAGACCAACACACAGAGGCAAAGCAGAGACACAATATGACCTAGCAACCATGTGTTTGGGAGGTGGGAGTAAATTTGAGCACCCAGAGAGAACATGCACTACAGTTGATACCTCCTCCCTTTAAACTGATCTTTTTGCTTAAATGTCTATCATTACTATTTTTGTTATGCAAACCATAGAAAGAAAACATAAACTCACACACTAGATGTCAGCAAGAATTCTTTCTTTCAAGTACTCAAAGCACAGGAAATGCAATATTGATAAAATATTTATAACTACACCAACTGCTCCCAGAAGGATTTCCTCTTAAAATAGAGCTTCCAAAAAGGCAAAGTGAAAGATATCACCATTATGTACCATTTTGTTGAATTACAAATGATGTGACACATTTTTATTGGAAAAGTTTAAACCTGAGCACTCAAACTGAATGCTTTTATAGGTGAAAGAAGTTTAATGCCTGACAAAACTGCAAAGAAATATCAAAACCTATAATCATGATTACTTACATATCCATCCTCTTTGCTGTCTCAATCCTAAATGATTTAATTTGAAATAAAATCCCTTTGACAAGTCACACATCAGTTGAATGCCATCTATCTATGTGGAATAATAGTGGCACATGTGATTTTGGAATACAGTAATATCTGTGAAGGTCCCTCAGGCAGGTAATACATTTCAAGAAAAGACTGAACCATGAAGACTAAAAAGTTTTCAAATCTTAAGGGACAAATATGTAGAAAAGCACAGTAGAACAGACGAAAAAACTTTTCATCATCATGGACTGAGAAATTTACCATGGATGAAGTGAAAATGGATAGAGCAAAGCAAATTGCTTCAGTCTGCCAAAAACCTAAAACTCAAATGACAATTCACCTATCAGTGGGACAAGGACACAAAGTACAAGCCCAAAGTTACACTAGAGTGGTTCAACTAGAAAAAAAAGTGAATCATTAAGTGGCTTGTCTTGAATCCAATACAAACTCTGTGGTAAGTGAAAGTTGCTCTCCATCACCTATTCCCAACTAACCTGACAGAACAGGTTTGCAAAGAAAGGGTGAAATTTCCTCCATGCTGATGTGCAAACTTTTAACAGATGTAATCAAGGGCCTGCAGCTTTTCACTTAAAAAATGTACCCATCATTTGCAATTCAACAAAATCAGAATGAATACTTTGCAAGGTAATGTACCTTTATGTATAATGTTTTCAAAAAAGTTACGTCATAGATTGCATCATGTGGTGTCACAAACTTTTGTGCATACAGTTCAATATAAACTCACAAATCTGAAATTATGGAAAACATGCATCATTCTTTCTAGAAAGAAATAAACATCCATCTAAAGTTATCTGAGGTGTTCTGGTAAAATTAATGTCCACAAGCAATTTTATTTTAATGATGTAAGTTAACTTGTCACAATGGTACCGTGATGGTACTCATTTTGTGTACAAATCATCTGTTTTCAGAATATTAATTCTCTGCTCTGGATTAATGCTTTGGTAAAAGTTTCATTTTTAATAGTTGCAAAGACAGAAACTTTATAGTGTTACTCAATATTTCAAAACCTGCTGGTTTTTAGTATAAAAAACTTTAAGTAATATATATTAGAAATATGACATTTTGTAATTTTGCTTTCCTATTCTCATAATTTGCAAAAAAGCAAAAAAGAGCTCACTAGTCTAAACTAGTGCTACAGAGTTACTAGCCTACAAATGAACCATTAGCAAGTTGGGAATGAAAGACATTACTCTTCTAATACATCTTGTCAAAGTAACTTTTTGTCCTTAATTTTCAATTTATTTTGACATGTTCAATGTACTGTCTGTTTGCTGTAAGTATATTCTGGGCTGCTCGTTCAGAATGAAATATGACTTCTGAGATACAGTTCAGCCTTAACTGTGATTGCAATGAGTGGGGGATTACTTTACACAAAGCAGGGCTAGCATTGTTTCTTACAAGTCTTGTTCTGATTGTGAACAGTAACATTAAGAATACAATGTACTTTAAAAATTTACCCCTGTATTACTTCAATTAATGTATTAAGTGAAAATTAATGTTAAATCTGTAGAAGCTTTTTCTTGATTTTTTAAAATAATTTTAATAAGACTTTTGCAATATTCAGTGTTCTGATACTAGTAATGTTAAAAAAACAGTTAAAATTCATGACTGTATAAAAGTTTATTTGGATTGTTTTTGTGGCATTTTTTATGGGCAAGTTCTAATGATCTATAATCAAGGTCAGAGATCTTCTATTATGTTCACTTTACAACATATTTCTGAAATGTTCTGTATATGTCTACATGCTCTATTAAATTATATTCACTTCAAACTACACCAACTGACACATACTTTAAAACAAATCTAAATCCCTTAAGTACTACATTGATTAATAAACAACAGAAAGATATCACAGTTGTACTTACGATAGCTGTGGGAGCAGCTGCTACTACACAATACAAGATGAGAGGAGGAACAAAACTCTCTTCTTCCACTCCAGGATAGGGCTTCATCAGGTCAGCGTCATTGCAGAAAAAACCCTGAATATGCACCCCGAATGTGTCAGTGCACTCGAAGTAATAGGCCAGCAGAACAGTCCCAGCCATGATGACGAGCTGAAAGTACAGCATATTTGCACAGTTGCATTAGTCTCAATCACCAAGTGAACAGATGATCTTAAAGCTCTTGTAGCCCCCAATTATAATGTGCCTATATATCTCTCTGAATGCTGCTATTTTTCTATTTTTTTTTCAAGACTCTCCCTCCCCATCTCCCTCTCTTTTGCTCTCTGTCACTGTTACAAGCTCCAAGCTCCCTCTCTACCTTGTAGCATCTGTTACATAAACCTTGTGGCAGAATGTGTTCATGAACAACAGAAATCGTAGAGAGACCACAAGCACGACTTGTAGAGGAATGATGCTTTCACCAACAACTTAATCAGAGGACACGTGAGTGTCTCTAACAATAGACAGATCAATTCCCGGCTGCAGCCATGAACAGTGCATGACTCTGTTAGCTGGGACTCCATCAACAGATGGGCTGACAGACTCTTCTGGGACAAAACACTGAGAAGAATAATAGTATTTGCCTTGACATTTTGTATTCCACATGAGCTGTGTCATTCCAAATCAAGAAATCTATCTAAAGTGAGAAATAAAAAAAAAAATGAACACATCCCATCCGTGAAATTAAATGACTGCGATTTCCCATTAGCGGAACAGGAAAAGGATAAACACATGCTTGATATACTCTAGTTACTGTATGTCATTTACAAGGCATAAAGCTTCAGTTTTGATTATTTTAAAATAAAAAAAGAGATTAAACCACACAATAAATTTATAGACCAATGAAACATTAAAAAGTCAAACAAAAAAAGCACGGGCAGAGGAGACATACAAACAAGTCATAGTGAGGAAACATCCATCTGTCTTTTTAGTGCTCCATTATTATCTGGTTAATTTATCGTTTTTTTGTAGTAAGTTTGCAAATGCGTGTCATAAACAATCATGGAGATGCATCTCAATCCCATATTTAATTTAATTTAGTATGGAAACACTGAATGTAGCCAATTAAGTGTAGACTATTAAAAATATTTCTTAATTTAGATTTGCTTTTGTTAATATCTTTAATTTACAATAATTTTATAACTTTTGACTGAAAAGACAACAAACCATTGTTTCCTTGAGGTATCTCATCTACTTATTATAACGTTATTGTGAACTGCCCTAAGCACAGTGCTGTATGCATATCCTATAAACATCTTTTAGATATTTAATTCTTACTTCAGCCAACGAAGTGTGATCAAGTTATGATGAGTTGGATTTCTTTCCTCTTTTCAGTCCTGTTAAGACACTCACAACTGTTCAGAAAGCCCATGAACAGTTTGTAATAGTTGAGTAAGGAAGTAATAGTTTGCAAGGAGGAATTGAAGTCTAGAACATAAAGATGCTAAAGTGAACTCAGCCATCACACTATTAAGAAATACCTTAACTCTGACATTTAAGAAGATGTTAAAAAGTAAGATAATGTTAAGTAATTTCTGCAATCAATCTGCTATCAAGTGATAAAACCATTTATCTACAACATATTAACCTATATTCTTCATCTCAAATTTATCTCATTGGAGATATTGTACTGTATATTGTAATAAATCAGGAAAATCCATTTACAGTAGACTGAAGTTTTCTTAAGTCTGCACTACAAAATATGTAGTGTAATTGTTGAATATTGTGTAACTTTCATCTATTTAATTGCTTCCGGGGACGTAAACCATTTTACTTTGTAAGAAATGCTCTCAGATGACTATTCTTTTCCTGTGCCTAGTACTTTACTTTTTCCTTTGAAAGTAATGATCTCATTTGCTTTTTAATACAGGAGTTTGAAAACAAGAAAGGTGCTTTACTTTCTGATTCTGACAGCTTTCAAGCCACCCATGCTTCCTAATCTTACTTGGTGGTATTCAAATAAGTATGATTCCAGGGAAATTCTAAAGCTTTCTTTGTTAACAATGATCCACAGGAGAATCAATTTATGAGCCATCGATACTCCCCAGTGTGAACGGAAACAATCAAAAGGCTAGAGGCATAAAAGACGACCCCATTTATTCATTTTAGTGCATGAATCTGATATATAAGGAAATATCAGAAGACTGCAATTAAATGGCTTATTATTGAAAATATTGCTTTGAGCATATTTTTCCTCTTTTCCCTCTACCAGATATTCAATATTAAAACAGAGTAATGAAAGAATGACTTACAAGAATGAAGCTATTTATTGTCCACAAGTAATTGATAAAATACTTGGTTCTTTATTTCTACACATTGTACATAGTGTATATAGAAATTTAAAATACAGCATTGGACAACAATCAACATAACCAGAGAGAGAGATGGGAGAGCACCTACAGTGCATGATAATATAATTAAGAAATTTTATATTTAAAAAAGATTAATTAAATACAATTGTGTTTAGTGTGTACAGATGAACATTATATATGAATCATTTTCCTACCCAGTTACCCGGTCGAAAACAAAAACGTCTTGTTTCTCTGTAACTTACAGTATTTATTAATGTATGATGTTCTATACAGATTCCTATACTGATATTATCCGACACTGAATAATGTATAAATATATATATTCTTCTTACAGAAGAATGTTCTTCAAGGTAACTTTCAGCACAGATCTGTAGATTTGATTAACCTTAATATATAATGTATATATCATGCTAGAGGTTAAAACTTTCTGCTTTTCAAATATGTATACATAAACTTTTAAAAATAAAATAAAATTTACCACTGTGGGCTTCCCTAGGCAAAAATGTAATGTCCTTTAGTAGCCTTGTTTATGATGGAAAGCATTATAATAATAATAATAATAATAATAATAATAATAATAATAATAAAAAACTTTATTTTATATAGCAACTTTAAAGTTATTTCTTTTCAAGGTGCTGTAAAAGGGTAGGAATTGTAAAAAGAGAGGATTTCAAATGAAGACATTTGTTTAATAATAATAATAAAAAACTTTATTTTATATAGCAACTTTAAATATGGCTTTAAAGCTCAAAGTTACTTTACAGAATGACAAAACAATAAATAAAAAAAATACAGAACATAAAACGAAATTATAATACACAGAGGAGACCGTGGATGGTGGTACTAAGTATAGTAGGAGCAGAGAGGTAAAGAATGGAACCAGTTAAGTAAAGGCTCTTCTAAAGAAAAAGCTGAAATTGAAATTGAGTCTGAAATTGAAGGAGTTTAGAGAAGGTGACTCTCTGATATCCTTGGGGAGAGAGTTCCAGAGCTTGGGGGCATAACAGGAGAAGGCCCTGTATCCACAGAATGTAGATGGGCTTGGGGGACAGTAAGGAGACCAGAATTAGAAGAGCGAAGGTTGCGA